TTATATTGTTAAAATTTTTTTAATAAATTTTGTGTTTTTAAATAAATATGTATCCCATAACTGATATGTATGTATATACATATATGCATGAATGCATAACTACAAATTTATGAAATATTCTATTTTTTTTTTAAATATGAAATTTTCAATTTACAGTGGCTCAATATTCTTACCTACTCAACCCAAGTTCTTAAATTGTTGCTCAAAATATTACAACATCTTTTTAAGCTACACAACCTATGCCCACATGTGGTTTACTTATACGCAATGGCGCCCTCGCTGCCTATAAACAAAAACATCGAAAACGCCTCAATTGTATGAAGCAACAAAATTTTTACGAGCACGCCCGTTATTCCGCTTACTTTTGTTTAATAAAAGCTTTCTATATAAAATAGTTTAGCACTCTTTCCAAATGGGGTGGCTGCCTAAACTATTACTGGCATTACTGGGTTTTTCGTTTGCGCCATTATTTCACTCTCACGCTCGGTAAATGCCTTTATTAGCTGATTTATGCACTGGCTGGAGTGTTGGTGAAATATGTGAAATGCTTAAGTGGTTATCGGAAAAGTGTTAAGATTGACTTTTATTGGCACTTAAGGCGCGCGGCGCACCAGCCGCCCAGCCCGCAAGGGTAGGAAGTAGTGCGAGCATAGAACAGAGCAAAGCAAATACTCCGGAACTATTATTTAGTGCGAGTGAGTGGCATTGGAGTGAGTGTAGAAATACATACATGTTTATATGATAGTACATATATATATGTATATATAAGAGTATGCATTGTAGTTACAGTGTGGATAATAAAACGAAAGTGCCAGTTATTAAGCTGCTAAGCAGTCGTGAGCTCTTAAACAAGTGTGCCATGATTGGCATGGGGTCAAGTTTATGCGGGAACTAAATATAAATAAGTTTCTGGCGGAAAGTGCAGTCAATATATTTATTTAGTAAAGAGTTAACACATTACTTGGCAACGGCAGCACTAAAGGCGACGAGTAGAATATGCATATAGTGCTAATATATTTAATAGAATATCGCTTATGTGCCTACTAAAAGACTTTATGGCAGTAAATGTGGAGTGAGAAATAAAATGAAACTAAGGTATATAGTAGATTTTTCTGATGTGGAAAAGAATGGGTTAAAGTAGGGGAAAGGAGATTTCTATGTAAGCAGGAAGCAGGTTTGGGATATCTCAGGCTTGAAAGCGATAAAGAAAGGTAGGCTTGTTTATAAAGAGCACCAAAAAAAAACAAGGAGTTGATAATGATAAGCTGGGAGTTAATACAAATCTGCAATTGGTCTTATTATGTGCTCTAGACTATAAAAATTCGGCTTGAAGTGGTTTTGAAAATTGTATGATCTTATAAATTTTTATATGGAAAAGTTTGTGATATAATTAAACTGTTCTTCAGTTTTCAAAAGTTAAGAACGAGATACACAATCCTAGAACAGTTTTTTTTTTCAATAATTGAAGCTCAGCTATGATATCAACGCTTCATGGGATGGCTTATTGAAGGCATACCTTAATTTATTACTTCTACAAATTAAAGGTCTTGACATTTATTGGTGAAAATTTATTTGGTAAATAATTTTAAAAAATATTAAAGATTTATTATTTTGAATTTTAATTGAACGTTTCTTCAGTTTTTAACAGTGGAAGACTGCTATCCATTTCTTCAACAATTTTTTTTAAATTAAAAAAGCCAGTCCTGTTATTGGTGTGATAACAATATTTAATGGGATAGCTTCCTAATGATATATCTAAATGTATTCGCTAGAATTTATTGTTAATCATCAGTAGATTATATTATCTCGCAATAGTAATATCTGCGTATAGAATCAAGGAATATTTTTAATACCTGGGGTTACTAGCAAAAATGTCAAACAGAATAGTATAATATCAACCACCACATTAACCACCTTAACCATATAGGCTGAAGCTTTGCTTTGTTTATATTAGGTTGTAGGCCTGATGTTTCAGTCAAATGTAGCGCTGGATCTCATTTTCAAAGCTATGACAATTGAGTATTTGTGATAACCAAAAGCTACCAAAAGATTCTAAAACTGTATGACCACACTCGCATAGATCGACTAAGCACTCAGAGCACAGCGTAAATTTGTACGGCTGCTAATATCAATATCAGCTACTTCCCTTGGTTCACCGAAGGTGTATCTACCGAGATATTTCAAACTTAGTCTGGCAAAAGCTGAACAGTTGCGGAGAAAGTGCATAAATGATTCCAATTCGTCTTGCTCCATGGAACTTTGTCAATTTGCATTCAACAACATTTGTAGCCACTTAGCTTAGAGTAAGAAATTCAGAAGACCGCTTAGGATCTCGCAGCTTCGCAAATTCTGATCGTTGACTGTGCGTGTGCTGAGCTGACGGGACTTCTTCCTTACTTAACATCAAAATTTTACAGGACGAGTGTTTCTAAAGTGATCAAATTAATAAAGTGCTTAAATGGGAACCCTAAGCAGATGATCTTTTCTGGCTTTCCTAATTTTTTTACAAATTTCATTCATAATAAAATCACATGCAAAACATTGATCCAAATATACGTTGCCACTCTACTACAGCCACTCCTGGGTGATTGGCGATCGGTTGGCATATATAATTTTTTGCAAGTTTTATATAAATTATATACTTTATAAAAATTGTACCGTACAACGTTTCCGAGATCTAAGTGTGTTCAAAGAATTATTTATGTTCATTCTAATTATTATTTAAGAACTTTCGACTCATCTGAAAGTATTCTGAGGAACAAGCAAGTTCAAGTTTGGTGTCATTTGTGTTAGTAAACAATGACATTATTTCTAAAAGAGACCAGCGGAGGCGAAGTCAAATTTGGACATTTTTGACATTTTTGGTTTTAAAATTTCGTGACCTAGAAGCTCTTGCAAGATCTGGTTTATATCTGCTCTATTCTTAGAGCTTATAAAATTTATAAAAATATAATTAGTGATTGGATTGGATTGGAGGTATGCTTCTTCGACCTCGAGGTGGATCACCCTTCATTAGCAACGAAAATTAATATAAAGCATCTCTTAATCAACATGACAAAAGCGACATATAAGCATAACAGGGGTAAAATTACGGAAAGCGCCTAGAAGTATGCTGCGGTTAGTTGAATAGATCCTTAGCTGGCATAGAGATGCACACAGTCAAAGTTAATTGTATTAGCGCAATAAAATAAAATTCTCTTAGGAATTTTTTTTCAAGTATAAATGCAGTTGCGATGTTGACTAAGCGACGATTAGGACTTAATTAAGAGGTAATATGTACTTACAAGGCAGAAAAATGTGTTTCTTCCTGATGCCTTTTTTGGAGGAAGCATTTTATAAAATAAAGCAACGAAAATATTACAAAATTCAGAACTGAATGTACTTTAAAAATTATTGTTTTATTTTGAAACATATTGCATTCCTGTTTTTGCTTAGGCGGTCTACTGGAGGACCTGAGTTATCAAAGAAAAAAAGGTGTTTGGCCGTTAGTCAGATTTTTCTCCTTGAAATCACATCTAATTCAAAAACCAAAAATTTTTTAATAAAAAAAAAGTAGTTTAAAGCTAATTTCGTGTAGAGCGCATTTTAGAAACACCAATGCGCCTTAAAGTATGCTATGTATTTAAAACTACGCTCTCCCGCATTGCTGACGTGCTCAAGGCAATAGTTGCAGTGATTATGAGAATACAAATACTATTTATTTTAAAAATTGAAAACAACAACAACAAAATTACGATTTTTTATAAACACCACAAACAACTATAGAAATGCAATAATAAACGAGCAACAAACAAAAATATAAAGCAACAAATGTTATCAAAACAGCATGTGGGCACTGAAACAACAGCAACAACAAAAAATGCTTAAAGGCAAGAATATAAGATATCAAGCAAGCCAGCATACTGCTTTATTTACATTCGTCGAGCGGCAAGCAAAAGTATGCGAAAAGCAACAAAAACAAAAACAACAACAACAACAACAAAATAACGAAAAACATACTTAAAAAGTAAACAAGCAGCCAGCAACAAGAAAATTAAGAAATGAAGTTGAAGTTAAAGATGTTGCACAGCTTGTGTCCATG